AGCTTCAGTGCACAAGTAGTCTCTGTAGATGCAGCCGACTTCATGGAGAGAGATCCTCCTGGCTCTTCCGCTAGCTTCTCTGCAAGCGTGGACGATGGCGATTCTGGGAGCAAAGGCGTTCCAGGCCGTACAACCAGCTTCCCTCATCGTGACGAAGTCCTTCCTGGAGAGGTGCGGGCAAGCTGGGTCTCCCCAAGGGTTTTTCAGTAGAAGATGTTTGCGACAAGGACCCGGTACTGGTGCTGGTAGCTGTTTCTGCTAGTAGCAGGCTTACCGGTTTATCGAACACCTACAGCAATGTGCGGCCAGGTTTCAACACACCTCGGGCACGGTGCTTGAGCCGACCATCGGGTAGAGCTGGCCGATGGTAGACCCTAGCACAGAACGTTGCTTGCCACTTGAGTTCTACCAAGGCAAGATGCGGCCGGCGAAGCCGTGCTTGATGCAAGGAGAGTGATCGCAAAGCGCAAGTTCTTGTGCTTGGATGTGCCTGCCTGCGTGGATTGTATTCATGCGCTGCTGGAGCAGAAGATGGCGAGGACTGTGAGTTTCCGGCCTGCCGCAGAGTTGAGCACTGAGCAGCTTCGTCCTGCAAATCTGGAGTTGGCTGGCCGGCTTGCCTACCAAGGATCAGCCTCGTTGAGTTTGACCATGGTGCTGTGTCCGACGAGGAGTACAAGCCGGCGTTTCTCCTTGGCAGAGCTTTTAGACTTTCTCATGAAGATACCTTCCTGGAGGATGTTAAAGTGAAGAGAAAGCTGCCTCTTAAGTCCGTCCGCGACCGCCAGCAAACCAGCTGGGAAGCGATCTCAGCATGAAGCTCGCTGCGAGCCGTCCTTGTTCCGAAGGGATCCTGCGCGTGTCCAGGCGCCATCGCTGCCGTCTGATGAGAAGTCTGTTCGGTTCAAGGACAGCATTTCGCATGCCAATGGAAATGATCAGGTGAAGGTCCAGGCTCCAATCATCTGGTGCGCAATCTGCGCGGTGCATGGTGTGCTGCACGTCCTCAGTCCCTCTCTTGCAGAGCTGAACGTGGAATGGCACGGAGCTATAGGCAGCCCGGCACCACACCGAAAACCCACAGAAATGACACCAGCTTGCCATTATTGATCTGTTCTACGGGTGAAAGAAGGGAAGGTTCGGGTGGACGAATCGTTTGATCCAATAAAAAGTTCTGTCGGGCTGCGGACGGGAGCAAAGCCACTGAAGTACCCAGAGAAACGAGGGGACAGAGCCTCAGCGCGATTTTAAAGCCTCGAATTCAGACATGCGTCGTTGGTGCCGCTTGAGATAGTTGCGGAATGCTCCGACGTTATTTGAAATCGCGGGTTTGGGATTCCGAACTGTGATTCATTAGTAGTCAGGGTGGAGCGATGTAGACATCCGCAAAAAAGCAATGGCTCCATTGGCCAAGTTTTGCAGCGATCAGCCCAGATGTGTTCAACTGCTATACTGCTGGGTCCAGTCATTGGTCTAGTTACGTCTGGTTCTCGTAGATAGTCTGCTTTTTTGGCGTTTGGCCAACATGCATCCAGCACTGTGCACCTTTCGAGAGAAGTGCCGTAGTCCAGAAAAGGAACTCACAGAAAACATGAAGACGGCTGATCAACGTGACCCTGCCATGTGGCTTCTGGTCCACTTGGAAATGTGTTCAAGCCTTGGGCTATGTCAGGAGGGGCTCCCTGAACTGTTTTGCGTCAAGTTTTCCCGGATGTAGGAGCTGCCCACAATGCCCGGCACCGTGTCCCTTGTCATTATTTTGGGAGGTTTTTGTCCGCAGGTCGCCTCAAGTCGTGCAGGATTGGGGGCCCCAATCCTTGTCCATTTGGAGCTCCACAGACCCGCCTTATGTCGTGAAGGATACCCTGTGTTGGAGGCCGCCAAGTCGTGAAGGATTGGGGGGCCACAATCAATGTTGACAAAAAAATCGTGGAGGACTGGTGAACTTGTGTAGGATTGGGAGCGTCTTCCGCGAAATGGGGCGGCAATACAGTACACACTATTACCGTCTAACTCGCCGATGATAGCTTGGCCGCCTCTCAGGAGTGTGCTCGCAGGCCGCAGTTCTAGCAAAGCCTGCTTGGTCTTGCTGCGCGACTGCGCCCGCCTACCCCGACAGAAGTGGGGTGGCGGGCGGGCTTTTGGGCATAGGCGATTTGTGGCCGCTTTAGGGTTTAGGGTTGTGGGTTGAGGGATGAGGTGTTTTGATTTGTGAACGAGAGAGTTGCATCGTTTGTGCATGGTGCCGTGACACATTGCTCTAGCAGGAAAAGATAGACCGTTGCACCATGGTTTACACCATTTACGACTGCTAGTCCCCTATGCCCGGGAAAGAGAAAGAGGGAGACTCTAGGGCCGGGAGCAAGCAAGCAAGGCGGGCGGGGTTCGCACATAAAATAAAGATGGCGAAAGAAAGTTTGTGTGTGTGTGTGTGTGCGTGCGTGCACACACGTGTGCATGCGTGTGCGTCTAGCATCTTTCAGCCATGTCAAAGCAGGACTTGCCGACAAGCCCTCTCGGCAAGAGGACGATGTGGCATGTCGAAACATGCAGCTTCCATTTTTGCGAGTCGTATTTGCAGGACGGGATCGCCAGATCCTCCTTCAGCTAGCAAGTCGGATTCGCAAACGACTGATGCGAACACGGCAAGCACAAAATCCAGAGGATCCGAGGTGCATGACCACGAAGGATTGCAACAAACATCATTTGCCTTGTTGAGGGAAGCAGGGGACGCGGATCTGAAGATGACCCTCCAAGTGATGCTGGAGGGCTCAGAAGTGTCTGTCGGCGAGCATGATTTTGCCAAGCTTGGCTCGGCACTGCAGGCTGAAACCGTGTCAAGTGCCAGTTCAAGAAATCCACGATCCAGAATGACCACACCGTTCATGTCAGCCAGCGGCTCGGAATGCGAGAAATTCCCGAGGTCCGTTGCTCACTTTATGCCCGGCGCGCTGCTTGCGACTGGACAATTTCCCAGGCGGTTGATTGGGGCTATGAAGTGAGTGCTCCTAAGGAGGCTCGGACCGAACCTGTGCAGCTTGGCAAACAGTTTCTTTTACAAAGCGCCAACGAACAGAGGCAACACAGGCTGGTGCTGCCGGTGCTGTTGCTGCTGCTGCTGCTGGCGACAGCGTCCCCAGTTCCAACCGCCGCCGAAGGCCGACTCAGTACAAGAGAATCTGAATGTGGCTCGTCCAAGCGCCCTGCCAGGTCCAAGCCATCGTCACTAGAGCCTGCGGCTTGGCACTGCTCGGCTTTGGCTAAATGTTGTATAACTTCTCCGAGTTTGCTGGTGAGGCCGTACTCTTCCGCAACGGATCGCAATCTCGTGAAACAGGTCGGGGCATCATTTTAGAACGAGCGGGACGAGGGATGCTTCAGTGCAGAGCGAGAGATTATGCCGTTGCTTGACCATCGTGGAGAGCCAGCTGACTGGCTGATAGTTGCCTCTTCTTGCATCCCTGTTGCGTGCAGAAGTTCGTGCGCTTTTAGTTCGCCGGTGCCATAATTTGGCTTGTGCATATGACGGTGATATGCAGGTCAGCATCGAGTCCAGCATTGAGCGGGAGATAACGGAGCGTGTCAAGTTGAATGTCAACGGCTCAAGATGGCTCAAGTTTCTTCGCAGCTTCCAGCACTGAGCCTACGGTCCTACACTCCTCCGGCTGTCGAGGCTCAGCGCCAAGCGAGAGAGGAACGGCTGGTCCAAGTGGGCAGCGCTGATGCAAATGCGCATCCCTCAGACGCAGGGCTCGCCCAGTTCCGTGAGTGGTCTGTCACCGTCGCCCCATAAGATGCTCCTGCTCCACGCTGCACCAGTGTCCACTGCTTCCCACACTTAAGCGCAACGCCCGACAAGCATCGACTGCCTTTTCCACAGCGTTTCACCAAGTTCAGGCCCAAAACAGCCGCTGGCCCGAGTGAAGCGGCAAAGCGTTCACCTTCATTGCCAAACGGCCGCAGTAGTGTAAATCTCGTGCTCAAGCCGCCTGCAGGGAGCAAAGCGAACTGGAAGCATCCATGCGAGTACCGACGAGCGCAGTTGTTCCTTAATGTGAACGGCGCCAAGGTGCCTTTGGCCCTCGAGAGGTGTTCGTCAGCAGATGGTGGAAATCCAGAGGCAGATCTTGCGAATCACATCGCAACTTGTCTGCAAGCCATTCAGGAACTTGTCTTAGTGACAGACCTGCTTGCACAAGTAGAGGCATGATGAGGCAAGCATACATGGTTCCGTGTCGCGTGTCGGTCCCCCCCCACCCCCACCCCCATGGTATGCACCCGAAAACCTCGTGAGGGTTTGTCTCAAAAGTGCCAACAGTCACTGGGATGGGCCCCCCGAGCCCGGGATCCTCGTGAATGTTGTGACTTTTGAAGCTATGCAACTCTTGTGACGTGTCCAAATGGGCCATGGTTTCGGTGCCACGCCCAGCTGCTGACCCTCAACGCTAAACCCTCTCAATACTGTACACCTAAACCCTAAACAACCCCACCACACCACACCACACGGGGGGAGAGGGCGGGGTTAATAACTACTTGCAGAGCTTGCCGAATTGCAAGGTTTATGTCAGGAGACGTCTGCCAAAATGGCTCTGCCATTTTGGCCCAAGATTGTGGACCGTGGGTCCTTGTTGGAAATTTTAGCTTTCTCCCGCTTTCTACTTTGCGACCGGTGATCATGTCGTTCACTCCCGCTGCCGCGGTGGATGACGTGTTGGCCTACGTTGGCCTCCGAGCGAGTTGATGATGATGTGATGGTCGCCCGTGCCACCTTGGCACACAATGTCGCTGCCCACGAGGACGAGGTTGCCAACAACGCGCTGTCCTCCTTCACCTCCTTGTCGGTTGATGATACCCCCTTGGAGAAGAAGCTCGAGGGGATGGATGCCGCCCTGGCCCGGCTCATGTCCAAGGGGCGTGAAAAGGAGGTGACGGAAGCCACGGAACAAACAGGCGACTTTGTCCCTGAGGTGGCCGCATCTGTCAATGATGTTTCAATGGAGGGGGCCCCACCCACAGGCGACTTTGTCCCTGAGGTGGGTCCCCCATCTAAGGACAAAGGTGCCGCCATGGACGTGGACTCCTCCGAGGCCCTACTCCGGGATGAAGCTGACTATGCCGGGCTCCATGGCCTCGAGTATGACGAGGACGAGCCAGATGATGCCGCCCCTGCCACAGCAGGGCTGGGATATCCGTCTTCGTCGGCAGCCCGCCCATACTCTGCCCTCCCCTCTGGCACCCTCGAAGAGACTTTGTTCCGCATTGAGGGGTTCCCGGACGACTTCCCGGGCATCAGCAAGAGGAGCGCGGACCTGGCCAAGCAGTTCACCAAGGAAGAGATCGCGTCCCTCTTCTCCCAGCTCAGGACGGAAACTTGGACCAGGCCAGCCGTGGAGAGGGTCCTTGAAGTGTACCAGATCTACAAACGGCAGATCGCGCAGGAGAAGATGCTGGCGGCCCACTACAACAAGGCCCGGGCTGAAATTGGCCACGGCAAGTTGGGGCAGCTGAACCCGGGAAGGATGGGGGCCACACTCATGTGCCCGAGTTGCTTCGCAGACTGGGCGAGACCCGACAACAAGGCGGAGGGCAAATGCAAGCTGTGCGGGAAGGAGGTCATTGCAGTGGACAAGGGCCCCCCGACGGCCCAGATCAAACTTGGCTCATCTTCCTGGTTCATGTTCTGCGGCCCCGAGGGTGTCTCTTGGCATACGGACGCGGATGAGGCCCAGAAGGAGGCAGCAGCGGTGGGCATTGGCTCGTGGGCACAGCCGCCACCCAAACCTTCTGACCAATCTGGGCTCAGCTTTGCTGATCAGGTGCCTGTGGCCCTGAGGCTCAGCCTGGCGCACACGGTGGCCAAGCAGCCCTTTGACGAGGTACAGTTTGCTAAGCGGGGGAGCGACCACACATCCGGGAGGATTGGCAACCCAGCCAAGAAACTCGCGCTTTCCACCCGCAGCTGGCTGCTGCCATGGACATTGAGAAGAAGAAGGCGGGGCCGGTGGACCAACGCCCCAGCAGAGAGACCGAGGAGGAGTTCACAAACAGGCTGAAGTTCAGCTGGACGTCATTACCCAGATGCAGGCTGGAGCGCACGAGGTTGCAGATGCACCTGGGGCAGCGGTGCTTCGGCGCCTGGACAGAAGCGCAACTATCTCCAAGGCCCCGGCATCAGGGCGAGGAATTTTTCGCACCCCAAACCTCCCTTAAGGCAGCCAAGGCCTCTAACAAGCGGATGCAGGAGGAGGGTGAGCTCCGAGCCAAGCTCCTCAAACCTGTGGTGGAGACCATTGACACCTGGGGCCCCCAGCTTCGCGCCGCCCTCGAGATGAACGTCTTCAACCCCGACACTCCTCTCAAGGACGTGGAGTTTGACGACATCGTGGCCCTCAGAAGCAGGTGCCTGAACACGAAGTTCTGCTTGGCTAGAAGCGCAACCCCTTCCCGGCCTCCCTCCTTCAGGAGCTTCCCTCTTTGGCGGCGGTCCAGCGAAAAGAACACTTGGCCCGGGACGACGACAGGGGGCTGTCTTCCACAGGTGCCTTTGGCCCTGAGGAGCAGTCCCCGGAAGCAGTCCTGGGGGTCCAGCGTAGGGTCGATGGAGTACCAAATCCTGCACCTCAAACGCTTGGTGGAGCTGCACCTTGGGGAGCAGACACAAGTGGAAGCGGGTCCAGGCCCACTGTCGGCCCCTACTGGGCGAAGCCTCTCCCTGAGGCGAAGCAGCTGATGTTGGAGATGAGGACCCCCTTCTTCGAGCCGATTGCCTTGACCATGGAGGAGATCGAATCCCAAGTTGCCCTGAGGAACAGGCCGGCCCTCAGGAACATCGTGGGCCCCTTCCATGCCAAGGACCACGACGGCAACTTTCACTGGCAGAAGGAGGTCCAGACCTGGGACCTCATCTCTCTCTTCAGTACCTACGGTAGCAGCTACACAGCGCGCCACCTCTATGCGGTCTGGAGCCACTTGCCCATTACGGAGGGGGGCGAAGAACAAGATGTCAACAACCAGCGCCGGACAATTTCCGGGCGATCCAGAAGGAGGCCAAGGAGTTTGTCCTGCTCCACGACCTGCCTGCGCCCACCACCGAATTCGAATGGAAGCAGCTGTGCCGTGAGATGGGCTCCTTCTTTGCGGCCAAGGTCTTTGTCAACAGGACCCCCAGGTCGTCCTGGACCTGCCCTCGGATGTCCACGATTCCAAGGGCCACCTTCGCTTCCGCGCTGTCTGTGACGAGCGGATCACCCTGCCCCTCAAAGCCTTTCAGGTTTTTCTTCGAGATCTACAGCAAGCTCTCCACTTCCCTTGGCCAGGAGGCGGTGGTTGAGGTGAAGATGGCCTGGCGCTGTAATACGGAGCAGTGGTGGGCTGCCCGTCAAGCCTGAGCAAACGGGGCCGATCTACCGGAAGCTGGGCTACCCGGAGAGCTATATCCAGGGCCCCAGTCAGGTTCCGCTCCTACCGGCAGCCTCCGGACACTGGGGAACCCAGCGCCGGCTCCGGCCGGCCTTGGGATTTCCCAAGTCCAACGGAGGAATGGGTCCTTCTTAAGGCTGACGTTAGCAAGGCGCACAGGCGCATCAAGGTGCTCCTCCGGGAGTGGCGCTACCAGGTTGCGCAACTTGGAGAAGAATGGTGGGTGAATACTGTAGGTACCTATGGTATGGCCAGCGCTCAGTTGTATTGGGGCCGCATGGCTGCCATCCTTCTGAGAATTGCTTAATTACGCAGTTTTCCCTGAAGTCGACTGGGGCTTTGTTTTCGTGGACGACTTTGCTTGGTTGCTTCGGAAATCCAGCTCCTCTCTCCTTGCGTCCTCTTTGTGTCTGCTGATGCTCTCACTGGGTACCCCCTTGAGCTGGAAGAAAACGCTTCTGGCCGAGGTCAACACTTGGTTGGGTTTCGTCATCGACCCCAAGGGTCCCTGTGTGCAGATGGCTCGTGACAAGCATCTGCTCGTGATTGGCATCCTGGAAGAACTTAAGAATGGTAAGGTTATGTCGGCCTCTCAGATTGCCAGTGCCTTGGGTAGACTGCAGTGGGCGACAACGTCTTGTCCCCTTCCTCCAGCCGTTCTGGGCTTGGAAGAAGGCCTGCCTGACGGCAGGACGGCCGGGAAAGCTGATTCGTGCACTTTCCTCCCTCCTGCTCTCTCTTTTCGATCAGAAGTTCCGGCAAGCTTCGCCGTATGCACCGCTTGCCTTTGGTCAGGGGCCAGTGATGCTAGTGCATCTGATGATGGCAGTGCCTTTGTGGGCGGCTGGCTT